GCCATTTTCATTCTCTCTGGAGTACCAGCCCCTCCTAGGCTGAATAATAGAGAATGCCCCGTATGTTACAATAGCGCCAAAAAAATCATAGCTGTTGTGTGCGATCAAGATAGTTACATGACAGATAGCCACAGCCAGAGAAGGTTACCAGTAAGAGCTAATCACACTCAGGCAAAATAGCGCCCAGAACAGGAGTTCAGCAGAGTAGCGTCTAAGCTCACGGTCTCGAACCTCGGGTCAGGTCTTCACTGTTGCTTTATCTATGAAACTAAATCCATAGAATGAGAAAAATACCATGCATCCGACATCCAGACCTATTAATTCAAAAGGCAGTCCAGATTCCAGCAGAGTGCACGAGTGTTGTGTATCCTTCCTACTGAATAGGATATTTTTGAAGAGATATTCATATCTGGACCGAATCTTGTAGTTTCCACCTTTCTGTCGTGAAGGCCATCGTGATCAAGGAGTCAAAAACGGCTAATGAGTGGAGTAAACGGTTAGCTACCCTCTAAACGTCTCCTCCTTTCAACACCTTTATCTACTTCCCGCGAAGCACCTAGAACTCGGGATCAACTTTCTGAATTTGCGGTATTATGTCAGTGACGCGCTGGAAGCACCAGATCTAGGGAAATCCTTCAAAATCAAGTTTATTTCTGAATTCGTTGGTTTATCTCGTTCGATCCTCCCGTACCTCGGTGTGTTTCTGAAGTCAGAGCTCCCGAAGCGAGGAGGCGGCAGTGAGCCCAATTTCTCAACCCTTAAAGTCCTTGAGCCCTCTTACAAGGGTGGTAACGTGTACTTGTGGAAATTTCCAGGGATAGTCGACACCATAAGGTATTACATACCGTAGTGTCTGTCCTACTGCCACAGTAAAAGTAACGGAGATCTGAAGAAGCTTTGAATTTCAGTGGGTGGCAGCTCACAAGTGGACTCAGGTACCAAGGTACCTGATGTTTTGGTTTTTGTGGACAAGGTTGGGCAACGAAATCAACTGTGTAGGTCAGGCATACATTAAACGCTTCTGCCATCCCGCAAGCATGCCGAATGACTGGCTCATTCCGAAAGAAGCCAAATCTCTGCTTTTTTTCCTTTTCTCTATTGTAACTCAGGGGTTCAGACATTTGGCTAAAGAGTTTTCAATGCCACCAACTCGATCTCTCAGGTTTAACTATCCCTTCGGGGTCTTTAACTGCACTTCAGTCGCAGCTGTTCGGAGCTGAGCTGCCGCATAACTATCGCATAAAACCGTCATTAAAGATGCTGTTCCCAATCTAGGGCTCTGTCCAGATCTGCCAACGAGGCTTGCCAGCCGGCTGTAACGGCTCTTTGTCATCGCTCATAGGCCCCGCCTTGCGCTTTCAGCCTCTGACCTCATCCCGTAAAACAGTGTCTGTGTCCCTCTATCAGTCTAGCGTTTCACGGGTCAGCCCCTCCGGTGGAGGGTTAAAAGGCGGTTTCGTGGCTGCTGTCACGTCACATTACTGCTTCAGCCAGTTGCATTCTGTTGAGTTCAACTGCCCTCTTCATCGGCTTTTTCTGGTCAAATTCTCAATTCCTTCTTGCCTCGGACTCTTCTAGTGTTGCGACCTTTAGTTCGCCCTGAAATTGACCGCTTGACTTTCAGTGATGATCCGTCAAATCGCTGCCTTAGCCGTCTTCGTGTGCATTGCCTCGGCTGCCCCGTTCACCAGCCTCGAGGATATTCCTGCTGAGTACAGAGGTTACTTATTTACTAACTATTTACCCAGGTTTACCAGTTATTTTTTGTCGATAATTTCGTGGAAAATATTATTTTAGAGCTTATCCCCAAAGAAGCCAAGGATTTCCTCGGCGGTCTCACCGATTCCGACAAGGCCGTACTTAAGGAGATCGCTAAGGACTATGCCAAGTACAAGAACGAAGATGAGGTAAGGACTACCCCTGCTACCCCCTCCCCCTTGAACTTGTGCTTAAATTTGGGTCGAGAATTCTTAACGTGTTTCCTGTTTAGGCTCTCGCCGCCCTGAAGGAGAAATCACCCGAACTTGGTGCTAAAGCCGAAAAACTTCACGAGATGGTCAAGGGAAAGATCGAGGCGCTCAATGACGAGGCCAAGGCTTTCGCCAAGGAAGTGAGTCATTTATTATCCCTGAAAATTCGAAATTTTATCCAAGTAAATATTTCTGCAGATCATCGCCGGTGCCCGCAAGATCCAAGCTGCCGTTGTCGCCGGTAACAAGCCCAACCTAGCTGAGCTGAAGGAGAAAGCCCAGAAGGCTATCGAGAAGTACAAGGCCCTGTCCGAGCCGGCCAAGGAGGATCTTCAGAGCATTCCCATCACTGACTTCCGTCTTCAAGAGTAAGTCTTCAAAAACGCCTCGAGGCGCTGATGGCCTTTGGGGGAACATTTGAATCGGGGCATTCAAAAACCGCTATGAGGCGGATTAGTTGAAGCCTAGGAGGGGATATCGAACGCCAGGACCAAAGAATGCCCTGACTTTCTCCCAGCATCCTTTATTTCCCTAAGGTTACTTGCCTGAGGTTAGTCTCAAGTTGGTAACTGGTTCATTCACTTGAATATACCCCCCTTACGCCATGAGCGCTACGTTTTGTATTGATTGGACCGTTGATTCTGATCCTAATGGTCCCAATTTCAGACGAGAAGTTCCAGAAGATGGCCGAAACGTTGCTGGCCAAGAACTAGGCGCTGAATTCACGTCGTCGCCATCGCCATCGCCGTTGTCGTCGTTGTCGATCGTCGTTGTTGTTTGTCGCATTTCCACTTCAAAACGTGTAGTATCGTCCGTCTCCTTCATCATCGCACTAAAATGCCATACTCTCACCTCTCTCACTTGTTATTTGTCTGATAAATCGCCTTTTCAAACACATTGAGTTCGATTTTGTGCTAGACGGTACTGATAGCCATGTCGAGTACTCGAATCCAGCCT